GAGAGTCCAGGGAGATGATGTTTGATGTGATGTGTAAATCCGGGAGTGTCATTTTAGGTGTGCCTTGCTAGGGAGATGAGGCTTGAGGGAATCAGAGGAGTGAAGAGCCATGTTTCATGCAGTCTTACCTGCTATGTAGGGCGTCCATGACAGTGTCATTCCAGGGGGCAGACTGACCTTATATTGGCCAGCAGCAATAGGACATGGTGTCAGTTTAATTTTGCAGACTCCCCTTCAGTATGACAGTTATACAGGCTCATGTCCTGATGACAGGTTCAGACAAAGAAGACATTTAAATGTTGACCAGGTTCCGGTTGAAATATAGGGTGCATGAAAACGAGACACATTCCTGGTGGCTGGAATGCCAAGGTTGGGAATGAAAAGGTGAGGAGAGCAGCTGGCCAAGGGGCAGGCATGAGAAAAACATCTGGAGGGTTACCAATCAGCTTCTGACGATCTAGCAACATCTTCACCACCAAGACGTTCTTCATGCAATCATAGTGGCGTATTCATGCCTGGACATCTTCAGATGGAGGTTATAGAAACCAAATGGACCTCATGCTTAGTGTCAAGCAATACAAGAGCTCACTTCAAAAAAGATGCAGCTTGGAGTGGATCATGAACTGTTTAAGCGTGATCTGATGTGGATGTGTGATTTATATGTTAGATATGAACTGTGGATTGAAGACAAATAAATCATCAAAGAGGAATCTGACACAGGGGAAACAATAAGGAGGAGTCCAAATCAGAAAGGATCTCTTAAAAACAAAAGCAACACACAGAGGACATCCACAGCAAATACAACAACACATATTTATTGAGATGAGATACAAGGAAGAACCTTCAGTGATGGAAAAGAAGGTTAGATTAGCCCTGAGGTCAGATGGTATCCTAATAGATATATTAAAAGCAACTGAAGAAGCATCAATGTAGAATTACTCTCGTATGCCAACAGGTTAAGAAAACAGCTCCATGCCCTACAGATTGCAAGAGATTGGTTTATATTCCAGCAACAAAGAACAGAGACCTGAGTGTGCAAACTGTCATGCAGTTCCCCTCATATCACATCAGTAAAGTTATGCTAAAGTGCATTCAGTTCAGATTAGAGCTGCACAGAGATTTGCCAGACATAGAAGATGGATTCAGGACAGGCAGTGGAACAAGAGACGTTACTGCCAATGCACAATGAGTTATGAGAAAACAAGGCATTTATATAGAAGGGAAAACATGTGCTTTGCTGAGTACAACAAATCCGTTGATTGTGTTGCCATGCCAAACCATGGCATCTTCTCAAGACAATTAATGTAGCAGAGTATCCACACTGGGCCAAAAGCTACATTCAGGAATGAATATGGAGAAATGGAGTGATTCCACAGTAGTAAAGGGCTTAGACAAGTTTGCAACCTGTCACCACACTCATTCAACTATACACAAAACATAATGAGAGATACTGGACTGGAAAAAGACAACTGTGGACTCAAGATTTAGCAAAGAAACGCCGGGAATGAACACTGACCCCCATAAATAGGAGGTTTATATATAAGGAAAAGTTTTGGTCAACTGAAACTATAGATGATGCTTGGATGAATCCTGGATGAAGCTGCTTAACAAGACAACACTACCTTTTCCATCCATCCAACTGTCACGCCCTGCTTGTCCAATCCTCCCGTGTCCCACACCCCATGTGGAATCCCGATGTTGCCAGCTGTTTCTCATTGTTGTTAATTAGTTCTGTGTATTTAAGTCCGCGTTCAAATATGTTTCCCTAGTCCTGTCATTAACATTGTGTGACGTTGTGTTGTAGTTAGATCTATGCTCCTGAGTGCTTTACCCCTATTAAATCCCTTGTTTACCCGACTTCTCTACTCCTGTGCCTAATTCCCCATTCTGTGCCCGAGCGAGTACATAACAGAATGAAAGGACTCCAGAAGAAGACGCCTCGCCTGACCGAGACTGAATACCTTAGTCTGGCTGACGAGGTGCTGTACTGGCTTGATCAGCCTAAGGTACGGAGCAAACCCATGGCTCAAGCCCTCGCTTTTCGGATGAGAGACATATTGGAAGAGACGTGTCTGAGAACTCACACCTGAAAAAAGGAGTGGCAGAGTCGAAGATGCGGCAGATAGCCCTAGAAAGTGGATTCCCATATGGTCCGTTGTTGGAGCTGCTGGAAGTGCCCCAGGTTCCACAAAGGGTGGTGGGGAAAAAGAACCGGCAGAGAGATCGAAGACGGGAGGACACGTCAGAGGTCTTGCTAGGGGTCATCTCGGTCTCCGCTGCCTGCCCTACTGCATGTCAGGAGGAAGTCTTCCCGATTTTCAACCCGGCGGTATTCGCGCCTGAAGCCACTGCCGCTTATCGCGAGCGTTTGCCCGCCTCTTTGCTGCCTGTGCACGCAGCTCATCCCTTCCTGGGGATACATCTATAGGAGATACCATCCCGCGGGTCCTCAAGTTCCCTAAATGGGCGGGTACCAAGGCAGAAACCCCAGCTCTTGTGCCCATGGTTCCTGCTCCAGTAGTTCGTGTTCCGCCCCCCGTGGTTCCTGCTCCGGTTGTCCCTGGTTCCTGTGCCAGCAGTTCCTGCTCCAGTGCCCCTGGTTCCTGTGCCAGTGGTTCCTGCTCTGGCATCCCTGGTTCCTGTCCAGGCTCCTGAACCCCTGCTCCAGTTCCTGCTCCTGTGGCCCCGGCACCTGTCCCTGAGGAAGTTCCTGATCCCTCAGACCCTGCTCCTGCCCTAGTTCCCATGGCCCCTGTCCCCGAGGAGGTCCCGGACCATCAGACCACGACTCCTCCCCCCTTGGAGATGGAGGAGGAGCTTGAGTGGGACCCCTCGGGGATTTCCCTGATGACTGCCCTGATGAACCCCTCCGGTGGGTCACCCCAATTACCACCTCAGTATGGCAGATCCTGGCCGGGTCCCCGCCTCTCGGTCTCTCGGAAAGGGAGAGGACACCTGTGCCGGGGTTGGGTCTCACACGCCCTGACCCCAGGCTCGCCTTCGGTCCCCCTGACTTCGGCTCGGCGGTTGCCTGTGGTCCCCTTGGCTCTGGCTTGGTGATTGCCTGCGGTTCCGCCAGCAGTGCCTCATCGAGCGGCTGCGGTCCCGCCTCCGACACCTCATAAGTTGCCTGCAAGTCCACCTGCTCCGACTTGTCGGTTGCCTGCGCCTGCCACGGCTTCTGCTCCCTCCTCACCTCCTCTGTTGTTCCCTTCGCCTCCCTCCTCTGGCTGTCCCTTCACCTTCCTCCTCGCCCCCTTCGGTGTTCCCTCGGCTTATGCCTCACAGTCGCCGATGGTCCCTCCTGCTCTGGCCTCGCGGTCGCCCACTGCCCCTGCAGCTCCCGCTTTGCGCCTGCTGGGATACCTCTGGCTCCCTGTTTCCCCCCACCCTTTGCTTCCTTGCCCCCTGGTTTTTTGCCGCCTGTGTTTGCTCCTCGTCCATTTGCTCCGCTTTTGTTCCCTCCTAGTCCTTTTGTTCCTCCTATTGGTTTGTCCCCTTCATTGTCCCCCTCCTTGGGTTCCGTGTTTCTGTCGTTGGTACCTCTGTGTCTGTCTGCATTCCCTGTAGTGTGTCTGTTGGTGTCTTAGTTGCTGCCCCTGTGCCTGTTCTGTGTTGTCTGTGCTGTTCTCCGTGCCTCGTTGACATTTTTGCTTTTGTTTTCCCGGGTCTTATTTTGTCCCTCCAGTCACTTTGGGGGTGGAGGTTATGTCACGCCCTGCTCATCTGATCCTCCCATGTGCCACGCCCCCTTGCTACCTCATGCAGAATCCCCGTGTTGCCAGCTGTTTCTTGTTGTTTTTAATTAGTCCTGTGTATTTAAGCCCAGGTTCAAGTATGTTTCCCTAGTCTTGTCATTAATGTTGTGTGACGTTGTGTTGTCGTTAGATGTTAGATGCTTTACCCGTATTAAATCCCTTGTTTACCCGACTTCCCGACTCCTGCGCCTGATTCCCTGGTCTGTGCCCAAGCGAGTACATAACACCTACAGCCCTTTACACAGAACAGGCAGGTCACAAGAAGGCTGAAGACCAGTTCAGGGCTGAGGGGGCCAAGCAGGGGAGCCTATGACAACTGAAATAGCCCTGGGACCTCTGACTGCGTTAATGTGCATCTGGCAACCGGCAGAACCACCGTGCAGGTCCACTGTCCTGCCAATTATATATGCAAATAAATGACACTGTGATGTGAAGGTGATTCAGATAGAGTACCTTATCAGTTAAAAAGATTGTTCATGTCACATTTGTCAGTCTTGATCCTCCAATTATTGAAATGTATTGGGGGGGGGGATTCCTTTACTAGTTAGAATGGTTCCTAGCTGCAGACTTTATCTGATTTAACCACATAGGAAAGCTTGCCACCAGTGCCAGGGTACCAGGGACACAAAAAGCAACAACATCCCCCCAAGTTAATTTTGGTCTGAATGTTCATAGTGTCAGTCAACATACGTCGGTGCGTCGATCAAAGTAAATATCATGCGCTTTAAAAACCCCCAACTCATTGAGGCCGTACTGCGGCTTATCTAACGCCCATTCAAGCCTTTGCCGATAAAATTCAGCGCCCAGCACAAATGCCCATTCACTCGCATGTCCTCCAAACTGCCGTGCGATCATTAGTGAGCAGAGCGATGGACGGCGTACGAATTCAGATGAGATTTAAAGGCGAGGTACGTGCCTCGCCATGCAAGCAAATGCGCGCCTCATTCGTGTTATCTCCGGGGGATTAGTCATATTTCGGACTAAACACTAGGAGAAATAATGCGACTTCGACCAGCCCTGCTTTTTATTCGTTTACTTTTTAAAGTATCGCGATGGTTGCATCCTTGGAGTGGTGGATTTTGTGTTGGAGTAAAGTTGGAAAGAATTATATGTGTGTATGCTAAATAAATAATATTATATTCAGTATAAACATCCAAAAATCGCTAATCCTGGTCTGAGTCGCGGACTATACATTATGTTATCATATCCAATGTATAGGCTACTGTTATACTGTCACTTAAT